CTTTCCTTTCCTTTCCTTTCCTTTCCTTTCCTTCTTTGTTCTTTCTTTTCTCTCTTTTTTTTTCTAGTAGTGAAGCAGGATTGGATTTGTTGTTCTTAGAACAGGGAGCCGGAATTGATACACAGATCAGTAGCAACCTTGTTGCAGTGGCTGCCGCGTGAATTCTTTAGAGACATATGAAGAAAACAGAAAGAAACTGAAATGGTAGGTTCCATTTTTTTAATGCATAATTAGCACTTATCTGTGCCTTTTCACACTGGATATACAGAACTGTTCTCTTCATACCAGGTTCTGTTATATCTAAGGGTGATGTGAATATAATAAAACTGAACTATCCCCAAAAATAATTTCCTTGGTATTTGTACAAACAAAAATAATTATATTGTTGGCTGCCTGAGATGGGAAGTAACTGTAAATTAGAGAAATGTAACTTTGATATAGAGAGGTATTTTATAATGTTTTGCTCAATTTATATTATATAAAATAGCCCTGTGAACACTTGTAATTTAACCAACTCTATTAAATAGTTACTTGCATAAATATGCAGGATGCTTTTAATCTACTCTTTTATATGATTCTTTAAAGATAATATTTTTATTTGCTGGGTGATTAAAATGATTAAATTTATGTTTTGTTATTTTCAAAATAAGCTCTGATTAAAAATAAGAGATCTGTAATGCCTCAGGACCTTTGCCAAAATGAATGAATATTCATGTCAGCTTGTATAAGTTACATATTTTTATGGTAAAGTGAATTGTAATCAATGTTAGGTGTACAGATTCTGCCTTCAAAGAAAACAATCCAGAAGAAAAAATATTTATAATTAGAGAAAGGGAAAATAAGAAAAACAGCAGGCACAGTTGTTGTATTTCTCATAGATAAGCTATATCAGAATAATCAGTACACTAAAAACAACAATATGTAAACTGATATTGGATTAAATTCACATTTTAGAAACTTATAATAGACTTAGTTTATTTTTTAAAAATGTAAGTGAAATTGTTTCCTGACTTGCATGTTGTTTCTCTTTTGTGCTCAAAGAGAAAATATTAAGGAAAGTGCCTTCTCACTTTAAACCAAAGATGAGGCTATCAATGGCATGTAACTTCTAAGAACTGCATTCAGAGATTATAAGTAAGGAAAATATGGATTTCCATGGCGCACAATGATCAAGCATTAAATTGCAAATGACTTTCCTGGTTCTCTGCTGTCAACAGTATTGTGCAAGAACTTCATTTCTTACTGCTCTAATCTTTCCAGGGAGAAAAATGTTATAATTTTATTCAATTAGCAGAGCTACTATTGGTTAAAGAGTTTAGGGTCATTCAGCAAGGAGTATTTCTTTTCTGAAGCTACTGTAAATCTCAAGTATGGTGGCAAAGGCATCAATCTTATAGATAGGATTCAAGTTTTGAAGCCCAGGGAAAGATTCCACCAGCCATACTAGCAAATATTATTTAGATTATATAAAAGCCATCCTCCAAGACCTTTGTGTCAGAGGGGGATATTTTTTTTAAATTACAGGATATGTTCTTTGCACTTGTGAACACACGCACTGCTCTATTTTGCTACATATTTGCAGTAATATTTCTGTGAGACAGGAATAATGTAGTGTATTTATTCTGTTGGGGCCAGTGTAATATGGCTCTGATTATTGTAAAAGTGAATAAACACAAAGTAGGACATTGACCCCTCCAAAAACCTCACTGAATTTCCACTTAGAGACATTACGAATGAATGAACTCAATTATCACCCTTTGTACTAGGTAACTGACATGCTTTTTGCCTTACTGTCATAGGCACTTTTGGCACCAATCAGATGCACTGAACCAGAAAGGGAATTTGACTCCTTCTTCTGACCACTACCTATTCCTGTGAGGAGATACCACAGATAGTTCTGTTTCCCTTACCCATTAATGTGGCTTCCCAAAAATGTTCCTGTGTGCCATAGGTGTCAAGAATCAGTCTCCAGACCCCAAGCCAGAGAATGGAAAATGATCAGAAAAAGATTCAAATTCTCTAATTCACAGAAGGAATGGCAAAAAAGAGTGTTAGATCCTTTTATGCTTCAGGAAGTAACATAAATTGACAGCCTTCATTTTACAGTTGGCTCAGAGAGTTGTAGTGATGGGGACAAGTACTTCTGTGAATCTCTGACAGAGAAAAGGCTAGAGCCTAGGTCTTTTGATGCCTCATCTAGTAATTCTTTCACTTCTGATTGCCTAACAATGCTTGAGGATTAAGAGAGACATGCATTATTCATTGGGAAATGTTAAAAGATGTAATATTGAAATCACTCAAGAACCTTTCAATAACAGGGGCACACTTAAGGCTGTTCCCAAGGGTCCTGATAATTTAGCAAACCTTGATTTGGGGTTTCTGCCACTGTTTCATTGCAAGAATAGGAGATAATTTTCCCTACTGTGCCCACATAAAAAAAATCCCCAAATGCAAATTGATAAACACTAAATGATGTAACACAACAGTAATACAGACCTGGCCATATACTGGATACTTAGGTGCTATATTGAGTGGCAGGGCAACAGTTTAGTCAAGCTATAAGACAAGAGATAGTATTCAGGAAGTCCTGAGGTGTAGGAGATTTCAGACTTCAGAAGGCAGTCAAGATTACAGAGTATGTGCCTAGCAAAAACATGGATATGGGGCTTAAGATAAAGTGTGAGGAAGCATAATACTATACTAATTGGTGGTATGTGAATCCCGAAGAGGATGCCACAGTTAGTGGCTTGACTATTGTCACTGTTTATATGACAGGGTGATATATGCAATTAGAAAATTAAAGTGAGTTCTCTTGGTATAGTCACTGGAAGGCAATTAGGAGTGGGGGATGTGCTTCACAGACTTCACTTTCATTTTCAGCAAGGGCTGGCTGCATGAGCATCAGTCAGGAATCAACATGCAGACAGAGTTCCTGATAAATAATCAAAAGCGCAGGATATTAACCAAAATAAAGTCTGTATAGACTCTGGAGATTTGGGTATGGGCCAGAAACTTCACTGACTCTAATCATCTAGTGAGGAAATCAAAGTTTACACGATTGGCCATAATCAGTATGTAGGTCACATAGAAGCCTGAGTTGTGCCCAGAGCATGAGCTAAAGCTGCCCATTCAAGCTCAGTTGTATTTCCAACAGCCTAATTACTATCTCACTAAGCATCAAAGATATATGCAAATGTCTGCTACCAAGTCTAAAGCCCCTCTACTCCTTCCTTACTTCTTGGCAATATATTTTTTTTCTTCCAAAACACTTTTAGTCAATCTCACACTATTTATGGAAAACAATAGCAGAGTTTTCTCCATGTTCTAAGCAACAGAAAAAGGCTTTAATAGTGTTATAATTACCATTACTTAGCTAAAATTCTTTTCTGCTTTACTTAGTAAATCAGATTTGGTTATTTCTCATAATGTAATAAACATGTTACCAGATATTTTTTTACATGGTGATTTACTTGTATATGATAAAACAATTTTAACAAGATATTTATAGGGTAACCATAATGATACTTATTTAATGTTTGGAGTATTAATATTTTTAAAAATATATTTTTTATTGATTTCAGAGAGGAAGGGAGAAGGAGAGATAAAAATATCAATGATGAGAAAGAATCATTGATGTGCTGGTTCCTGCACACCCACTACAGGGATCGAGCCCACAACCCAGGCATGTGTCCAGACTGGGAATCAAACCATACCTCCTGATTCGTAGGTTGATGATCAACCACTGAGCCACACCAGCCAGGCTTAATATTTTTTAAATGACACAAGTTAACCTATGAACTGCTTCTTCAAAACTAAAAATATGTTTTCCTGTGTGGCTACCCTTTTTTGATTTTTACATTTTTAAGACAAACTTATTTATTTATTTATTTATTTATTTAACATTCAATATTATTTTGTACTAGTTTCAGGTGTACAGCATAGTGGTTAGACAATTATCTACTTTACAAAGTGCTCCCCCACCCTGATATTTCCAGTGACTACTCTATGTTGCAGTGTCAGACCAAATGGTGTGCTGAAAATGAATCACGTTTAGAAGATTTATTACATATTAGATGTGTTATTTTAAACCCATTTAATTCCAAAAGTGCAAAAGGACGTGTTTTCTTGTTTTTTATGATTAATGTCACATCAACAGATATAATAAAGCCGCTCTGATTAGTGGCAAATGAAGTAGTAAGACAGTGGCTTTAAATTACAGAAACATTGTGTATACTAAATTAACTATAAAATGTCGAAGAGCTCTTTCTCTATTCTTCGAGGAAAAATTAAGTTTTTGAAACTAATGCACATTTACCAACTTGACATATATTGTGCATACGTAAGAATCAAGGATGTGTACTGGACATATTTGTAAAGAGTCTAAAACAAAACACTGGTGTTATCTTTAAGCAAAATGATGCAACAAAGATGGATATATTTTATAAATAATTCTATTAGAATTGCTCTAAGATATGAAATTATGTTCACGTATGCCTCTCACAAAGATAAGTTAATGATTTTCCAAGTAATTCAGTTATTGCAGATAGAGGAAGAGTATAATCCATGTCCAATAAACAAACTTTTTTTCAGTAGACACAGTGCTATTCTGTTACTGTTTTACTCAACTTACCTGGATAGTTTAAATTTGTAAGTTTAGAAATAATATTTTTGGTTTGGGTAATAGGGACCTGCAAAGGTGGTTTTTAAATCTATATTTTCCTGGTCCTTATTAATTTTTATACCAAATATTTCAGTTATTTAATATTCTAAAATTAAGTAAAATTATTTGGATCTTTCTTCCCACATTTTCATAATAATAATAACACCCTTCTTTTATATTCTTCGGTCCATTTTGATCAGGATCTGATTATTTTGTTGTTTTAAATTATTGTTTAAAACTTGTTTCCCCTTCATCTTAATATATTTTAGTTATGAAAATACTAACAGGCTTATCTTTTTTCCTAAGAATGTTAGAGTTAAAACTAGGTGTTACTGATTTCTACTACTTCATAAAACTAATTTGATATAAAAAATTCCAGTCACTTGAACTGGCATTAGTCTCTTTGAAGAAAAACACAACCAACAATGGAAATATTTGGTTTTTATCAAGAGCAGGCACAAGTCCCTATCAAAGCATCTCGTAAAGCAATGCCTTTCCCTCTGAAAGTCTACAGGGGTCCTCAAACTTTTTAAACAGGAGGCCA